CCGATCCAGCCATATTTTATACCCTTACATTTTACTATTTCTATCCTTCAGGTCTAACACCTATCAATATGAGGCTAGAGTGGCAGTTTATACTGATTTTAAGTGTTTTAGCGCTTGGGATTGCAGCTACGTCGGAGGAGATAACGCTGGCGGATCAACGGGTTGTGGCTAGGTGTTTGTATCAGTGCTGGATCGTGCAGCCTTGATCGGCCGCTCCGACGATGATGGAGTTAGTATTCACCCATATTGCAAGCACTACAAAAAAACACGGGCGTAGTCACGGATTTAGTCACGGACTGCAGTGTAAAAATTCCGTGACTAAAACTTTTAGTCACGGTCATCAGCCGTGACTAAATCCGTGTCTTAATTGGCGTGACTAAATGAAGTCACCGCCACATAACCGTGACTAAATTTAGTCACGGAATAGTCACGGTCCTTGACCGTGACTAGTATCATGCCGGAAACCCCACTCCGACGTGTTAGTCACGGCCTGTGACCGTTACTATTAATTTTTTTTTTTTTAAAATATTAGTCACGGCTTTGGGCCGTGACTAATGTTTAAATTTTTCAAAATTTTCAAAAGACCGCATAAGGTTGATAAAATGTCGGATTTTCATCCGCATCTGGTTGATACGAGGTTGAGGCTTCAGGGTGGTCGTTAGGTGGTTGTGGGGGGTTGAACTGAGACGGTACACCGTATGCGTCATATACCATTTGTTGGTCCCACCTCATTTCAGCACGGTCTCCCCACGCACTCATCTCTGGAGGGACGTAACGAGACGAACCTACCGTTTGTGGTATAACAGATGGATCCAAAGGTTCGCCGTGAACAAAACCGACCGCGTACAAATCATACCCAACTTCGTGTGGGTCTTTAAATTTGAGATTTTTACACTTTGAACATGGACATCTTATTTTATCACCACTCATATAAGCCGGATGTTCAAGTGCAAATTCAATAAATTCTCCGACTCCCTCGAGAAAATTTGATTGCATTCCGTACAATACCGCATCTTTATCATACATCCAACTTCTATTTTGTTTATACATTATGCCTGAATATTATAATAAAAAATTATATGAAATGCAATGCACACAATTTTAAGTAATTTATTTCACTAAATATAAGCAACTAATTTTCACTAAATTAAATGAAATGCACAGAATTCACAACAATAATGCACAAAATATACGTCCCCTAATGCACAATAATGCACATAATTTCACTAAATTAAACATACGTTTAATTAAATTTAACTAATTCATTTAGTTAAATTTAACTAAATTTAACTAGTTCATTCCGTCCCCTTTTAATGCATCACTACGTATAAACCTACGTTTAGCTAACTAATTTAATTTAATTAACACATCAATAGCTACGTTCAAACTTAACCTACGTTTAGCAAACAAATTTGAATTAAATTATTTTTGTAAACCTACGTTTAAACCTACACTAAATTATAACGTTAATGACATTTAATCTTATTAGTAATTCACTAAATTAAATAATATGACCAAATTCAACCCAATAATTAGAACATGTATATAAAGTCATTTGAATAAATAAGCAATACACAATTCACAATAACAATTCACAATTCACTTAATTAACACATTACTAACGTACGTTATTTGAACTAATTTCACTTAACATAAACATCATTTAGCTAACTAATTTTAATTAAATTATTTTATAAACCTAAAAGTTTAACTAATTCTAATTTATGACATTACTACGCTTATAGTTAAAACATGTTGTTAATTAATTAACAACCTCACTAATTTAATAGTTTTAATAATTTAAATTGAACCAACTAATTCTAAATAAAAATTATAATTCAAATAACATACCTTATCTGCATAAACAGGGAAAATGATAGAAGATAGACTACATCCTTCGATCTTTCAAACGGATACTGTATATACTGGGAATGAATTGGTGTGGTTCTGTTCAATGAGCTGCTCCTACATATATAAAAAATTTAGTCACGGACTTAGTCACGGATTTGTCCGTCACTAAGCAAAACCGTGTCCAATACGCGTCCAACACGTGTTAATGACGTGTAAATGACGTGTTAATCAAAGTAGTCACGGAACTAGTCACGGATATGGCCGTGACTAAAATTATCCGTACATAATACCGTTGCGAATTAAGTTAAGGGAGTTGAAAAAATTAAATTTTAATTATAGTCACGGGTATAGTCACGGATGTGGCCGTGACTAAGTCGTCGGAATCAAATAAACTTCGCCGGAAACGGAAACGGGCCTATCGGAGGACTTAAGTCACGGGCCAAGACCGTGACTAATTGTAGTCACAGCCATAGTCACGGTCCAGACCGTGACTATTTTTTTTTTTAAATTTCCGTGACTAGTCCGTGACTAGACCGTGACTAAACTAGTCACGGACCAAATCCGTGACTAAAATCCGTGACTATAACGCTGTTTTTTTGTAGTGAAGAGCTCGTCCTCCTATGGAACCACCTCTATACCAGGAAGTGTTTTGTGGAAAGTCTTTATATATTATTTTCTCTTTAGTAGTATTAGTTTTTATTTTAGTCCGAGTAGGTTTGGTTTGGATGTTTGGATTTTTGGAGTTCTTTTAATAGACAATGTTTCAATTGCGATTGTTTTAGGCTTAAATTTGTCCGTTTCAGGTTTAGCGAGTCATGATGCTTTGTATGAAACTATGGAGTGGCTGACTCTATGTCTACTCCTAGAGTTCACAATTGGATCTGTAAAATTTGTCTGAAGTTTTCCTTGTATATGTTCTTGATTTTAATATAAAAAGTCGATCATAAGAAAACAATGAAAGATATAGTGTCACGAAATGGTCGAATGCCATTGAAAAATGAATAAGTTGCTAATCAAAACTTTCACCAATGATTAACATACTAAAATTCTCAATAGTAGGAAAAAAAGCAATGTGAAATTTAAAAACAGGATTATTATATTTTTCTCAAAGTGAGAGTAGTTAGAATGTTTTAATTAGATTAATTTTTGTTGTTTTAATTAGATTAATTTTAGTTCAAGATCAAATCAGACCAAATATAGATAGATCAAAACAGATTAGATAATTAGACTATACCAATTGTAAAATACACATAGAATAGATATTTATCAGACCAAACCAACTCAAACCAAATCAAATTTAAACAGATCAAATCAGTTCCGACCTGTAAAATTTCAGTCCAATTTAAAGCATCTTTAATGTACGATTAGAGAATACCGTCAATTATTGAGTTTCTTGCTATTTCTAGACCAAGAAAGTTTTTTTAACTTTCCTAGATCTCGAATTTTGAACTTATCTTAAAGTTCTTTCTTCATAGAGTTGATTTTTACTTGATCATCTCCGACTGTGATAATGTCATTGACATATACTAACAGAAAAATAATTTTTCCATTTTCTTTTCTAATAAAGAGTGAATATTTACTTTTGGGTTGTCTGAAACCTATGGTTTTCAGAAAATGAGTGAATGTTTCGTTCCATTGCCTACTAGTCTATTTCAGACCATATAGGGACTTTTTAAGCTTGCACGCATATGTGATGCTTTTCTCCCCTGAATTGAAAGACTTGGGGGTAAAGACATATAAATGTCTTCTTCAAGATCACAATTTAAAAATGCAGTATAGACATCAAGTTGTTCTAAATGCCAATTGTGCTTTGTAGCTAATGCTAATAGCACTTTAACTTAAGTTAATTTTGCAACTGGACTGAACGTCTCAGTATAATCTAAGCCAAATTCTTGAGTGTAGCCTTTAGCTACTAATCTGGCTTTGTATTTATCAATGTTTCCATCAGAGTTTAACTTGATTTTAAAGACATATCTACATCCTATTGGCTTGATGTCATCAGAAATAAGAATTATGTCACATGTATTATTATCATCTAGAGCTTTCACTTCTTCATTGATAGCCTTCTTCCATATAGAATTTAAAATAGCTTCTTGACATGTTTCTAGCTCATTTAGAGCCGATAAAGTGATTGAATAACATTGTTATTGTTCAGATAGTTTGTCATATCCCAAAAATGAGATAGAGGATACACAATTTTAAAACTATTGTGATAAACCAAGTTATATATTGGCACTTTATAATGATGAAAATAAATGTGAGGGTGTCTTGGCCTCTCTTTGTGATCTTCTTAACTGAGTATCACCAGTTGTAATTCTTTCGAAATCACTTTCATAACCAGAGGGTATCTTGACCTCCCCTTGTGATCTCTGTGATTGAGCATCACTAGTTGTGATTCCTTCGGGATCATTTATATAATTGGAGGATATCTTGACCTCTCATTGTGATCTCCTTAATTGAGTACCAATTGATGTGGTTCCTTCAGAATCACTTATATAATGAGATGAATCTTCATTCTCATTTTGTCTAGAATCATGATGTTCTTCTTGAGATACATTCATGTCTTTTTCTTGAAATGTTTCTGAACCTATAGGTTCTAATTCTTCATCAAACTCTTGAAAAGAATCTGGTGAATCCGAGCCATTGCTCATATTTGGAGTCATCAAAAGACTTGTTGTGATATTAGGTAATGAACTTGGTGAGTAACTATTTTCTTACGTATTTCTTGTTCTTTGTCAAAAGGAAAAACGTTTTCTGCAAATATTACATCTCTTGAAATGAAAATTGTTTTTGCTTTAAGGTTATAACACTTATATCCCTTGATATGGTATGGATAACCGATGAAAACACTTTTTCTTGACCTTGAGTCAAACTTCTTTCTTTGAATTGGCAAATTGGATGCAAAACACAAGCATCCAAAAACCCTTATGTCTCTATATTCTGGTTTCTTACCATATATCATTTCTAAAAGAGATTTTCCATTAACCTTGGAGTAAGTATCTTATTAATTGGAGATCCAAGCTTAATTTTTTTTTGCCCCGGAAGGTCAACCACCAAAATTGGTGGGGTAAATGCCGGGGGACATTTACCAAATTTTATTAAAACAAATTGTCACACATACAAGATTTGAGGGGGACAAAGCCCTAGAGCAAAAAGATTAGAGGGAGATCCAAGCTTAATTAGAAAAAGCCTCTCATGAGATAAATTTCCTAGCCTATAGTGCCAAATATGACTCGAAACACTTGTTTCATTAGCTTGGTTGATAGAAAATACCTTTTGTTCAAAATATTTTTCTTCCCAAAATACCTTTTTTCCACCGTCATCTTTTTGACTTGCTCCTCCAGCTCATCTGTCATTCTTGGGGATTCGATCTTGGGGGGATACCCATTCCATTGAATTGGCAGACGAGCGTCCTTGTAACGAAGGAAAAAATACCGATTTTTCCACTCATGAATGGAGGTTGGTGCCCCCTTGAAGAGTTTCCATTTGGCACGCACAACGATACTCAGAAACCCATCAGAGTTCTGCGGGGTGAGCCGGAAGAAGTAATGGTATAACTCCAAGTTCGGAGTCACTCCCGTGGCCTTGTAGCGAACGATGAACGCCGAGATGAAACGATAAGAGTTAGGCATGAACTGCGCGGGGGCCACTTGGAAACATCAGAAGAACTCGATGTAGAATGAGTGAAGTGGGAACCGCAGCCCGGCCTTGACAAAATCGAAATGCACCATGACCATCCCCGGATGTCTCCTCATCACATGGGTCGCACCTCGGAGGCTGTAGACCTACGGTGGGGGGAAGTAGATCTTGAGGTCTTTGAGAGCCTGATCCGAAAAAGATTGCGCGTGCCCAACCACATTCTTAATAGGGATGGCAACGGGGCGGATCGGGGACGGTTTTACATATAACCGTACCCGCCCCGTTTGGTAATTCCCCCGCCCCATAACCGCCCCATTACCCAACGGGTAATTTGTACCCAAACCATAACCGCCCCAACGGGTAACGGGTATAACCGCGGGTAACCGCGGGTAATCACTTTATTAAATGAGTCATTGATATTTTAATAAAAAATAATATTTTAAAAGGCGAAAAATGACATCACCTAGACGACGCTAGAATCAGACGTCACTTTAAAGCTTCATATATCTATAAGACGAAAAAAAAACAACCTAAATTAATCTAAACCTAAAAATACTTGATCTGGAAAATAATTAATCACAAAAAATCATATAATAATCAAACAAGGCTATTAAGTTCTATTGAGAACTTTCTTTCTTACACTATAGTTAGTACATCTATTATCCATATATACACAATGAACATTAAAAATCTCATCTTTTATTAGTTGTAGGACAAATAATAGATAAGAATGTAATAAAATATAACTAAAAATAAACGGGGCGGGTAATGGGGCGGGCATGCATAACACCGTAACCGCCCCATTACCCGTAAAAACAAAACGGGTATTCCCCGCCCCGTACCCATTACCCGGTCAATGCGGTTTTCCCCATTTTGACCGGGGCGGTTCGGTGCGGGTATCCATCGGATCGGTCACAATTGCCATCTCTAATTCTTAATAAGGCAGATGTGACGTTCCACGTCAACGGTAAGGCCTAGGTCGAACACATCTATGTTAGATCCATCCCAGGCTCCCTTCCCCGAATCATAACCCTCAAGACGCTCATCGTCGGGGGCTATGTTCGCCTCCTCATTTTTGGCTGGCTGAGCCGCATCCTCTTGGGCGACGTCTCCCCTATCATCCCCAGAATTGGCGTCATCCTGAGTTGCACTGGTTGAAGTGGTGCTGATCACAGTATCGCCATTTGGGACAGTGCCGCCAGGGACATCATCATTGGCAACCGTCCCTACAACTGACTGAGAGCCAGAGCTACCAGAGGTGCCAGTGCCCCCCGAGGAGCGGGGGTTGGAACCGGAGCCGGAAGAAGAAGAGCTTCAACTAGAACCTGAGGAAGAGCCCGAGCTAGAACTCGACAAAATCTCCATCGAGGTCACCATTGCAGAACAAGAAAAGATTGGGGGGGGGGGGATAAGATCGAATTACATTGCAAAGGGCTGAGACGAGCAGGGAACCTTATCAGCAAGCGGCTTGCATGGCGGCAGAGATTCTAAAGCGAGAAGCGGAAATTGAAAACCCTAAGCCCGTCAAGGGATCTAATATTTATATTGGGAAGCACCGTCTCGCGAGACCAATGGAACAATGACACGTGGCGAGGAGCGTATCCCCAAACATGTGTCCCATGGAGAGAGACAGGCGCAATGATGACTTTCCTCAAAAGCTGCACTGTTTCCGCGGCAGCCGTCACCTAGGTGTCCGTGATACGCCGCCAATGGGTGACACCGAAATCAGGAATGTCCATCCCTTTCAGCTCGGCGGAGATAACCTCCTACGACAGGAATGTCCCCACGCACAACGGCTTGTACGTCTTTATGTCCCACGCACGCTTGGAACATCAGAAGTGGGGGACTTGTGTTGGGTTAATGGACCAATTATAGGATCGGCCCATTACCCCCTTCTTCGGACGAGCGTCCAGGCCTAACAAAACAACTTACCTTGACAGACGTCCAACCAGAGCAATGGTGGATCACGCCTCAAGGACGACGAACGTCGCCACCTTAAGCCTATGACCACGTGAAGTCCAGTCCAAGCTATATAACAAATTCTACCAAGGGCCAGAATACGAACAGCCCACACCCTTTGCAGTATTACCAGGAGCAGGCCCCAAGCTAGGGAGACGTCCTTCTCCACAGATTAGGCGGGAAACCCAGATCCTGGCGGGAAACGCATTTAATGCTGGGGATTTGGTGGTTGGGGCATCAACCACTCATGGTTCTCCACATCAGCGTAGCCAACTGCCCATTGGTGGTATAAATAGTTGCATTTATTTCATTGTAAAGGGTTGTCAACTTATTACCCTTAGCATTCTAGCTTATTTCTAGCTTATTACTCGCAGCTCTTCTACTGCAGTATAGGACGAACGGCTAACGGCCTTTAGCAAGCGTATTGTATCACGGGTTTATTAGACATTAATAATCTGGTCTTTTACTTGCTAATCTTCTTCTTAGCCCATCGTACTTGTTGTTGGATCAGTTTAATCACTCACACATAAAATATCTATTCGAAATCTTTGGGCTTACATGTTGGATCCGAAGGTTGAAGGAATAAACCTCAACACTCATCATGGAGTTTACATGTACATTTTCCACATTTACAATATGGCGAATGCTAATAATGCTTAAGCTCTTCCCAGATGTGATTTAATTTAGTAAAATAATCACCAACAGATAGTGAGTCTTGAGTAACTGCATTGAGATCTTGCTCAAGCTGAAAAGTTATTATGTCACTAGGCTCATTATATATATATATATATATATATATATATATATATATATATATAGGGGTTAGTTCATGTGAGAACACCCTCTTAGGAGAGGGAAAAAGATTAAAATCCAACCATTGACTAACCTCTAATCTGATGGCTTAGATGGATTTTGAAATAGAGTAATTTTTGGAGGGGATTGGGGTTTTAAAAATTTAACGTGCAACTATATACTTATATTAAGGGCATCATGGTAAAATTTTTCATGATGGATATCACGCATGATGCATCATAATAGGAAATCCTTCTAAAAAAGTGGATATCAATTCATACGTAATAACTTCTTCCATAATTAGCATCATTTATTGTAGAAAATACTCTCTCTTACTTTATTTTATTTCCAAATTTAGGATATTCTAGCATATAATTAAGATAATTATTTTGAACAAAGCTTTCTTTTGTAATTCGTGCATTAATTTTTTTATTAATCATTTTTTCTTTTCAAATGTAATATTCATCAATGAGTCAAAATGATTTATTTATTGCATTCCAACATTGAAAGGATGCACTTTTATTCGAAACTGTATATAACATCAATTCAGTTAAATGTTTACACATATTAGGTGTAGAAGTGCACTGATTGTAATCTAAATGTGCATTTTAAGTAAATACAAAAGTGCATTATATTATTACACTTTTGAAGTTTATACGTTGGCACTTTTTTACAAAACAAAATGCACTTTTTTACAAAATAAAATGCACTTTTATAATGTGCATTGTAACTACATAAAGAAGTGCACTGTTATATTTCACACTTTCTAAAACTTTAATTTACAATGATTCTTTTACAAAATCAAATATAATGCTCTTTTCTTCCAAAAGCCCCATGGTAATTCCATTATAATGATGTCTCCTGATGTCACGTGTGTCTGAAAAAAATAATGAAAAGTGCATGAACAAAGTATGATAAGTGCATCAAAATGAAATGCATTTTTAAAATGTGCATATAAAATAAATCAGAGTGCAGTATCATACAACACATAACAGCCCTTTTGTTGAAGATCAAACTTCCCCAAATGACCAAATTGAAAATATGCTATATGTTGTCATCATGCAAATTTATAAGCATCTTAAAGATGTAAAAACCGTAATGGACAAATTAAAAGTGCACAATTATATACTAAATTAAAAAATAATATTTATTCGGATAATGTAGTGTGAAAATTGAAAATAAATAAGAGAGAATATGATGATTAAAGAGCACACAGAAATATAAAATTTGTTAAAAAAAATGCTAGCACTTAAATTGAAAAGAAACTCATCTAAAAGTCACACGTAGAAAATTGAAGGCTATAAAATATAAACTATGACAAAGCAATAATAAATACACAAATACTCAAAAGGAAGTTAGTGGAACGTACAATAAACAAGTAAAGTAGTGCCTAACATTTCGGAACTTATCTTTAAGCGTAATCAATACATATACAAAATGACTAAAAACCCTCTCGATAGATTAGAAGCACGGAGGAATTATTAGATGATCCAATGGTCTACATCAATTCTTTTTTACTCTCCTAAGATTAAGTTCTCACATGATCCTAAATCTATATATATATATAATATATATATATATATATATATATATATATATATATATATATCTGATTTTCAATTTTTCATACGCCTGTTTGGCAGTATCACAATGCAATATTGTACTTTTAATTTATGGAGAAATAGAATTATGAAGCCAAGAAAGAACCAATGTATTACACTTGACCGAGGCTTTTAAATTTATATCATCACTTGCTGGCATGGCAAGAGTTCCATCAACAAACCCCATTTTATATTTCAGTATAAGATTCATTTCAAAATTTCTGTGCCAAGTGTGATAATTCCTTCCATTAAGGAATGTGGTGACTGCTCCAGAATTACTACAGTCTGTGTGATTAAGATAGTAGGCACTGTATGGGTCATCATGCTCAAGAGATCTGCCACACTTGGTTGTTTTAGATGAACTCTCAATCCTACTTTTACGAGATTCATCCATTTTCAGCACAAAACAAAGCCTAAAAGAAACAATCGAATATAAAACAGAGAACTAAGAAAAATGAAAGAATTGAAAAGAAAAACTTGAAAGAAACGAAGAGTCTGTAGATGTAAACAAGATGAAATGAAGTGAAATATGAAATCTATATATTGAGTAGGGGTGGGATCGGTCTGGTCTGGTCTGGTCTAGATCAGGTTTTTGCTAAACCCGGAAATTACCCGGAAAGTCTCGGGTTATGAAAATTAGGGACCGAAACAAAGCTCATTATATTCGGTCTGAGTCGGGTTTTTGGTAGCCCGGGTTCGGTACGGGTTTGGGTTGGGCGGCCGGTTAAAGCCCAATATCTCATTGTTCTTTTATATTTTAACACTTATTTTCAAATAAAATTAATCAAAAATACAAATCGCAAATAATAACACAAATATTAGTCTCCAAAATCACCAACAATTCAAATCCAAAGAAGATATTTATCTTAATATTTTATTTAAGATGCATATAAATAGATAATATAGGTTTCTTAAAAATATTACGAAATAAAATTTATAGATAAAAATGTGACTAGAGTTGCTATAAATATATTTTCATGATCATTACGCTAAAGAAATTGAACATATTTGTAGTCACTAAAAGTTACAAAACCATTTTTTTTATCCACTGTGATTATAATCATATATTAGGAAATATTTATAAATTTATATTCATATATTATATTAATTTTATATTAAAGGTAATTGGTTCGGGTTTTTATCGGTCTAGGCCGAGCTATAGATTTTAAGGCCCGTTCATGAGCCCGGAATTTCGGGTTCGGTCCGGGTTTTCTTAAATTCGGTCTGGTTAAAAGAAAAAACCCGGATCGGGATCATAATTCGGGTTGATCCAGGATCGGTTTCCGGGTTTCGGTTCGGTTTTTCCCACCCCTAATATTGAGCAATGAGTGATAAAAAGTGGATGCTCTACCATGCCTCAGAGTTCTATTTATAGGCAAACCAAAAACTAATCATTACAAAAAGATAAGTAAAATTTGTATTCATCTTGCTATCTTACCTTTTAAATACTTGAGATAGGAGGTTGTGTATTATTTTGTTGGGAAAAGGGGCAAATAAGCCCTCGAACTAATAAAAAAAGTGCAAATAAGCCCTTTTGTAGGAGGTTCTGTCCGATCATCGTCATTTGGGGAGGTTCTCGGTAGAATTTTTTGATAAATTTTTTTGAACATCTTCTTCATTAAGTCTAGTTTAGCCATACCGAATTTCAGCTAAAAATTCAACCGGGAAGGCACTCAAATGATTTTCGGAAATATACTGCGTTGTTTAACTGCGCAGTTATCTTCAAAAATTTATTTGATTGTCTTCCCGGTTGAAATTTTAGCTGAAATTCAGTAGGACTAAACTAGACTTAATGAATAAGATGCTCAAAAAATTTCATCAAAAAATTCCACCGTGAACCTCCCCAAATGACGATGACCGGACGGAACCTTCTACAAAAGGGCTTATTTGCACTTTTTTTATTAGATCGAGGGCTTATTTGCCCCTTTTCCCTATTTTGTTTGGTAGTTGAATTTGTAGGCCATTAAATTTGATAACTCGTAGAATTTATTCTTTCTCGTATGACAATCATCCATTTGTGAGTTGTAGACTTCCTCTCCCATTTCCTCATCTCCTCTAGCACTCATGCATCTACAGACTGCCCATTTTTACTATTATTTAAAAATATTGTCAAAATTTGGGACAAATGACCATATTGATAAAAACAAAACAAATTGGTAATTTTACAAATTGGTCATTTGTTTCAAATTTATTCATACATGACCAGACAACTTAATGAAGCAACGGAAAGTATGAGCACTAATAAAAAGAGACTATGAGAGTGAACTATTTCACAAAATATGCCGAAAATTGCATTAAAAGTGACAATGGAGTTTTAACACTTTTAATTGAAAATTAATAATGATAGTGAAATAATGATGATAAGAAATACAGAGTATCATTATGAACATTCTTGCTATTTTAGTATTTTTATAAATTAGTAAAATAGTCGTAATTAAAATATTAATGCTAAAAAATGATTTTATATGTATGGGTGTTCGCGTACAAATACATACATCACATGCACTCTTGTATACACTCCATAAACTGCTAACTACGAAGTTCTTAACAGTCATGCAATAAAGGAATTCAAAGACAAATGATTTCCTAAAAATACTTCTATGCAAGCACGTTTAACTACGAAATTATTAGTAGAATCATGTAATATCCTTAAAAGATGGTGCACCTTGTCTTTTTTTTTGGACCCGGTAGGCAAATCGCCTAAATTAGTAGGGTAAATGTCAGGGAAAATTTATCGTGTTTTATTAAAATATTATAAAAGTTTAGACAGAGGATGGACTAGGCCAAAACCCCTCTATAAGAGACATACCTCCTAGAAGTACATCAAACTAAAAACTAACAAAAACTATTGGGGGAGGAGGGGAGCTAGACCTGACCCAACATTTAGCACAAATTAACCGGTTGAAATCAGATTTTATTTCTGGTGCTCTAATTTACTCTTAAAATCAGATTTTTTAGAAGTTGGGGGAAACCAACTTCTGAAAACTGGTTCTTATTCTGCTTCTGATTTAAAGAAGAAGCAGAAGCAGAATCAGTTCCAAACACCCTCTAACTCTTTCAATCCGTCTCAAATTGAACCGAACCAAAATCGATAAAAACCGAATCGAACACTGATATCCATGACTCTAATCCAAAGTATCATTTTTAGAAAAAATTCCCTAAACAACACTAAAACATCGATAAAGTATCGATAAAGTTTATAAATATGAGTAATAATGTTTTATTCTCAAAATAGGATTCATTCACTCCTATTTTAGGAAGTTTTAATCAATTTATTCTTTTAATACTCCGGTAGAACTAAATAAGTAATCTTTTAATCAATATATGTCTAATTTGAAATTTTTAATCCGCAATTGCTGTATTAAAATTTAGCCTCAAAATGATCAAAAAAAAATTAGCCTCAAAATTGGAGTATACAGTTAGTTATACACTTCTGAAAATGAAGGATCATCGGAGTAAACTTCCCGGTGAAATGTTCTGTCGTTCGTTTTAGCAACCATCGTCAAGGGTGAAAATGTATCTGAAGACACCGTTTTGGAGGGACCGATCAAACCCGGGAAGTCAGTCTGATTCTCAATCGCCGGTGGCAGACCTGGTCAATTTGCTGGATAGGCAGAGACTGTACAGGGAGATCTCACTTGCACTCCGGACCGGCCTAAGCGATGCACGCGCTGAGTTCTCCTTTCTCCGAGTCCGCGGCCTTCGCCGCATTCTCAAGTTCCTCCGATCCGTGGCCGAGTGCGACGCCACCATCAATCTCTTCATCCACAGCCAATCTATCCCTGAGCTTCAAGGTTGTTTTCTCTCCATTGTTTTTAATTTTTGAATCCCAGTTTTATCTATATTCGGAGAATTTATTAGAGTTCCCAGGCGAAGGTTAAATTGTTTCCACATTTTGGTTAATTAGTTTAATTTCTCTCCAATTTTTGGTGCTGGAGAATGAAGTTTACTTGCATTACTACTGGTTTCGGTAGCATACTCGCTATTATAAGTGCTTTTAATTGCCAAATCAAACCTCCCTTGCCATCTTTAGAGTTAACTGATTGTTTGATTCAATTAATTTCAAACCATCAAGGACATATTGATTCATAAACTTTGTTTCAGTTTGAAATTTGGCTTGACTATTTGTAATGTATCAATGATGTTGCAGTGGTTCCGGTGCTTTTTGAACATTCACTGAGAGAACATGAGGATCAGAATGTGGCGAGCCTTGACCATATATTCACCGTTGAACCTATGGAAATAACCAGTCCTTCTACTGATGGTGAAGCTGCCATTGCACTTAGAGTTTTGGAAGGGTGTTGCCTTCTTCATCGAGAGAGCACTGTTTTGGCTCATCAATACAAGGCCATTCCGGTGTGTAAATAGTAAATGTACAAATTTTTCTTCTCCGCCTATGGTTTTTGACTTAATCTTGTGGTGCAATAATACTGTTTTTCACCTGGAAATTTCTCTCACGCATTATAAAAATGGATATCAGTACTTAATTGGATTCAGTGACACTATGTTTTACTTAATAAACAGGTCTTAATGAACATGTTATCGAATCGAGGGGTACTTGAGCAAGGTGCTTGCTTAGATGCATTGATTTCCATTCTGCTAGATTCATCTGCAAATCAAATGGTACGTGTTTCGGCTTCTCTTATCTATAAAAGGCTTCACACATTTTCTGAATAAGTCATTTTATGGACCTTTCCTCCCACAACTTTTCTTGGGCATACACCTCGTGTATATGTAGCGCATGTATGAGAAATGGGTCCTCTTTCTAGCCAAAGAACTAGGCACGGTGCTAGATAGCTGCAAGGTGATCATGGAGGCATCCAAGTAAAGAGGTCAAGAGCCTCAATATCTGTGCATAATGGGTCTCACATTGATAGGAGGACCATCTAATGCCTTGCACCATAGCTCTTTGACCAGACATAGAAACCAGGGTAGCATATATGTACATGTGTGTGCATGTGTATGTATTAAATTATTAATTTATGTTAGTCTGGGTTTATGTAGTATGTATAGATTATCAAAATTAATTATCCCCCAAGCCCAGGCTATATTACTTAATATTTTGACTCATCAAAGATCCAGTAATCCATATATTTAATGCCATTGTAAGTGTGTGTGCAATATATAAACATATCACCCACATCTATAAATAAACAAAAAACAATCTACGACCAAGTGATTTACAACTCCGATTTTCTCTTCAGTCTCCACACCATTAGTCTCTTGAAGACTGAACTGCAGTACTCTTTAAGACATTAAATTTTTAGCAAATTATTTGTCACGTCTAAAGGAAAAAACATTCTTAGCATTTGTATTTTGTGTATGAATTATATTTCTAAGTTGCCGGTGGCATTAATTGTGCCTTTTTCAGGTTGTGGTGCTGCATTCAGATTTATAAATTTTAATTTTTGCTATTCATAGGATTTGATTGACAAATTTTATATTGTAGGTATTAATTATCAGTTTTTCTTTGATCATTTTACAATAATGTAGACTATGATGTATAACTCCCCCTCGGCACTCCCCATTCTAAAAGATCACTACTTCTGTCTCTGCTTGTGTACTTCTATCTTAACAGCATGTTTCCTGGGAGGATTTCAGTTAAGCATGTGTTTGGTGGATTGCGATTTGAAGACTGAAAAGATTAAATAAGAGTTTGTTTTCCGTGTGATGTTATCACAGGAATTTGAGGCTTGCAATGGCATAGAGGAGGTTGCTTTACTAATCAGAGGCAAACAAGTAGATGAAAATCTAAGGTACTTTCTCTAGATCTGTAGATCACCATCTGATTTACTACATTTCATGAATCTAGTTTGCTCTTGCCTTTAATTGATTGATCATGTTTACCCCTGATTATTTTGTTCAATTTGACCAGGTTGAAATGCGGAGAGTTTCTCTTGCTTCTTATAGGGCATGTGAATGAGGGGAGGGATAAATTGCCCATGGCAACAATACAGGATGGTGTGAGGAGGTACCTGGGTGAAAAAACTGCATCATTGATATGGGCAGCTAGCCAATTCGGCTCCACCCTTGATCCTGAACAACGCTTAAACGCTCTTCACATCCAAGCTCGCCGGGTCCTTGAGTCAATTGATTTATATTGAGCTAATGAGCCACTACTATTATGATTTTTTCCTCAGTTACCTATGGAAGGTCCCACTCCAATATCCACTCTCGATTTATGCAGGTACTCTGGTATCTGAAGCGTTTTTGTATAAGGTTTTGGTGAAAACCCCAAAATGCAAGTCCCAGCAGACATTAAATTCTGGCCAAATTATTTTTCACTTGAGGAAGGTTTAGAATTATGGGACTAAGGGAGTGTTTGCATTTGCTTAAAAAAATCCACTTTTTTGAAGTGATTTTGGAAAAGTGATAAGTAGTAAAAGTTGAAGTGTTTGAGAAAAAAGTGATTTTGAAAAGTAAATGTTGGTAGTGTTTGGTAAAATAAGTGTTTTTTGTGTAGTAGAAAAAGCAAAAAGCATTTTTCACACAAAAGCCGAATAACGCTTTTTTAAGTAGAAGTTGTCACTTGAAAACACTCTTCTTTAGCTTTTTTACGCCAAAAGCCGAGAAACGCTTTTTTTTAAAGCGGTTGCAAATGCTCCCTAAAGTTGCATGTAAAGGAGCTAGCTCTACAATTTAATTGGATCATTTCTTAGTTATGACTTATGAGGCCAAACCTTCAATTTATCCTACACTATATGTTGAGGTGAAATTCTAGGTAAAAATTTAAAATGCGTGGTTGGATAATTTATGTTATTTCATCATTTATGCTGAAGATTTTTTATTTCTTATGTATCAGAGAACCTTGAAAGTTGAAACACAAATGCAGATTCATGCACGGGTCAAACTAGACTACATACAACTTTGCAAAGTTCGATATGTTACCTTTATATAGTACATGTTAATGTATTTTATTTAGTAAACTGATACTTTTCCGGAATTTTTTCGGCACCCAACACACTTTATTGCTCCATGTATAATGTGATATTGTTTTTCTTAAGCATTGGTGTTGTTGAGTTTTAATGGCAAATTATACCGTGGGATCGGTGCACCATGAGAACGTGCACGGTGCACCGGTCCCAAAACGGCATAGTATTACTCGGTATTAATTAAAAAAGAAAGTATTCCGCGTTGTTATTACCTAGATTAGAGAGCCTGCTTCTCTTCCGTCTTGAGAGAGAGCATCGGAAGTTGGTCATGACACTCGCCAGCGAGAAAGTAGCAGCGGTGCAACTGCTCATCCTAGAGGCGGCGATGCAACTGCTCATCCTAGAGGCGGCGATGCAACTGCTCATCCTCGAGGCGGCGGCAAGGCTTGATGGCTTATTTGAAGCTTAAATCTTGTCCCGGCCAGTCCATCGAACCCATGCTCTGTTTGACTGTTCCCATAGACTTTTGACTTTTGAGCCTGATGATATTTTTGTGCGCACTTCGAATTGATTATTCATTTTTTTTTTCCTGAAAAATTCGAATTGATTATTCATTAAGAGGCTCGATCTGTGTCTTGCGAGATAACAGCGAAACAGAGACTCGATTTGGGCGCACTTCATCTAATACTCAAAAAGAAAAAAAAGTTGAGAACTCATTGGAAATTGGAATTTTGCGCAGATTAACTTTTAAGAACTCAACTGGAATTTTTTAGATCTTTTTCAATTTAAATTTTGTGTACGCTCAAGTTACATCAGGATTTGCTTAAAGTTACATATTTATAAGTGTGAGTTACATGTCAATTTTTCTTAACAAGTTACATCCACTTACACGTGATTTGCATTTTTCATAATGCAAGTTACACCACAATATAATGCGAGTTACACATCTCAATAAGCCTTTGCTACTTAAAGAAAAATTAATTTTATAAAAAATTATTTTTATAGCCTTGATATACTAGAAACAAAACATATACACTATATTTGTAAAATTAATTGTGCAATTAGACTCTTTTTTTCCATTATTTACATTGAAATCAATGTTTTATTTCTTATACTATGTATTGGACAAGTTACATTTCGACTAGACTTGAGTTACATTGATTAATAACGTGAGTTACATTTCGTTACACGTGAGTTACATCACTCTGCTACTGGGACAAAGAAAAAAAACTACTATACACGCGGGTACTGTTCATGCGCGAAAATTTTAATTAAAAAAGGCAAAGTTGTGTCGTTTTGATTGCAGGAGTACAGTGCTCATCCTGGGAGGGTTCCACGATATACGAACTGAGTTTTAATATCTTAACTCTTAATGTGATGACTTAATAAAACTATAAAAGTAATGGATAATAGATTTTTAGCGTGAAATGCATCTGGGAACTGCATTTGATTTTTTTGGCCAAAAAATCGAATAGCATTGTTGGTTAAAACATTTAAATATAGTTATAGTACCCCTTACTTGGCACTCATTTTCATAGGAAACTTTACTCTCCAGTACGTCTACCTGGTACCGGTGTAGCATGAGCACGGTGCTTCCAAAATTATATGAAATGTAAATCGCGTGAACCAATATGTAACTTCAGGTTAATCAAAATGTAAATGACATTCATTCAAATGGAACTTGTTGAAATGTAAACTGCTTTAATTGAAATGTAACTTCAAAACAAGTAAGATGTAACTTGAAAAAATGTAACTTTAACTCATTCACTACTAGAAAAATGTCTTATAGTGACACTTTGCCTGTGACACTATAATGACATAAACACCTTTATGACACTTTTATATCAGTAATTTGTGACACTATTATATCAACTTACAAAGTGACAGTTCAACACAGATTTTAATTAATTTTTATATTTTTTAAAATTTCAGAAACACTTATACATATATACGTGTAAACCTGTGCATCTCTCATTCACTTCAAGAGTCAGACACACAAGCTCTCCTCCATTGTGACCTAGCCCCCTGAGTCGTCCAGACGGATGAACTCATCGCCATTGATCCACCGGTCGCACAACTGGCCGCCTGGACGACTGGATGTCGATCGTTCCCCCTTCGCCGGCACTACCTACGACCTCAGTTCCTCTCGAGCTCGCCCCTGCCTTCGCTGATTGACGGATCGAGTTGGTGACTGGTGAGTCCTCTCTTCTCCTTGCGATTTTCGGTCAATGAACGGAGACACTAGCCGTAAGGTACTCGATCTCTAGCTTATCATTTATATCGCTACCTCCTTAAAAATTGAAAATCGCATCTCTGGACCATCTCAACTGAAATTCTGAACTTAATTCTTATGTAAAAATGTTTTTTTACATGTTATATACTTTTTCTCTAGTTTTGTGTATTTCTTGGGTTTTTTAATTTCTTTTAGTTTGATAGAAAATGGAAATGTCTATTCTCAGCTCTTATGTTTCTAGTATAATGTCTACTAACTGTTTGTAAAAATGCCTCAGTAAAAATGAACAAGTACTCTTTCTCAATCATGTAGCCTAAGATCGCAGATTTGGGACAGAACAGAGCAAGATAGATTTAGGAGTTATATACCCTGCAAAATCAGAGGCTCGTGTGTTAATGTGAATGTTTATGGTGTTCCAAGTCCGCACACATTCATTAACAATGTAAAGTGAATGTTAAACATCCTTCTTGGGGTGATGTTTCCAGCTTGTGCTGAAGCAGCTGGACTGCCACCTGAGATGGAGGGGTTAGACATCCTTCTTGGAGGCTTAGCAGGTTTGTCCTTGCTATGGTTGAGATCAAAGCCACTTATACTCTTGCTCACTAATTGTCCGGGCTTTACCCTTCTGGTAGCAAACGAGTTAAAGGAATCGGCTAGTGGCGGCTTTTCCTCATTCTTGAAACTGTTTATTTAAAAACCTCTATAAGATAATTCCTTCTATCTGCATTTCTTATCGTAAAAAGATCCTGGTATGACAAGCTGCTATTTTTAATTTATAAGTTATCCTACCCAAAGTAGTCTAAAGTGTTATAATAAGTTTATTCACTTCAAGGATAAAGAGAGTGGCGAAACATATTATTTTATATAGCCTATGGCTCTATACAAATATTAATAGATACTTCCTCTTTAGAATACAAGTGTTCAGAAGTATTGTTTCAAAATTCTGCAGCAAGTTATATATCAAAGAACCTGTAGTTGTAGCAATATTTTGTTTAGTTATCATGTACGATAAGATGACAGTTGTACCAACTTTTGCTTAGTTGTGTATAATGAACTTATACTCTTATATTGCAGGTTCAGGATGTTTCATGTGAAAAGAGTGAGGGAGTTACTTGTGGGCTACTATACATCTTTTTAACACACACAAAAACTGAAAACAAGCAAAAACACAGGTTATTGGTCTGGTAATTAATGAGATACATGAGTTTATCCATACAATGACTCCAGGGAAGGTTTCCACCAATCTTATTTGTCTATATTGCAGTTTTTTCTCATAAATTGATGAACTTTCTTGACTGTTATATTCACTTAAGGTATAACCATAACTTGACTCCAGCAGGATCCTGAGAAGGAACGCGGGAATTGAGAGCTTGGAAAAGCATGTGAATAAGTATGAGCCTGGGTAGATTCAACGAGTTGATTGGCTAATTGCCTTTCCTTCCAAGCCATGGTGAAAATTTAGGGATGAGAAGACAATAACTATGGGAGTTCTCACATTTACCTAATTGTTGATTATTGCGATTTTTTCAGGCTTATTTTCAGGTAGCTCTTCAAGTAAAACTATATTATCTATTGTAGCCTTACAAAAGATAAATAAATATGGAGGTAAATTTTATTTACTCTAATGTAGTGTCTAACTGCAACCGAAACTACTGAGTTATTAATACTTTTAACTTATATGGTTATATTTCCCAACAGATTAATATGATTTTTTATGATATTAGTGCATATACTTCTATGGTTGTATTTTAATACTTCTATTTTATTGTTATCGTGTTGATGCGACTGTTCCAGTTTAATTTGCTTTGGGTATTGTGATATAGAAGGCAAAGTTGGATGGGAACCCATTTTTGTAGCACAAAGATTATCTTTAACTGCTTTTGAGTCGCCTTTAAATATGATTAAGCGGTAGCATTTGTTTACCCAAGGTTCGAAATTCCTTCCATCACAACTAATTTTTATTAGAATAAAATTTCTAGTGAGATAGAGAAAAAGAAAAACAATCAAGACATTAATGGATAGCAAAGTTGTAGTAAAGTCCACTCTAATGCTTAGTTAATAGTAGTATTTGTTAATTTTTTTTATTAGTTTATAATATTACGTTTTGTATTTTTTTTATATTCATGGTATGATGTTCTATTTTCAGCTATTCATATTCGAAGTAATATATTATAGGTATACATTATTATACGGATTCTATACACAATATTCAGACCAGTACGCACCTGAATGGTTATGTTTTTTGGCATATATACTATATGCAGTTGACTGGTGCCGGAATTCAAGCGAACCTCAGGGACTGGTGCCGGAGTCTATTGTTGCACTGTGATCACTGCTGTTACTGCTCAGAACACCGTTGGAGTTCAGGGTGTGCACATTGTGCCGAAGGATATCTTGGCGGAGCAGCTAAGGTGAAAACAGGCGTGCTTCCTTCTCCTGGCATAGTCAAGGTCCTCTGTCAGTCTCTTAAGGAGTTTCCCTTTAGAGTTTCACTTAATGCAGTAATCTTGTTTTCTTGGTTTAACTTTATCTGCATTTGAGTTGAATCAGCGAATTCGTTACAACAGTATTGGTGATTGATCCTGTTATGATCTCTACAAGTGGTTTTAACTTAATACACAATTTTTTATCAAACTTTTAATTAGAGTAATAGGGATAAGCAAGAAGAAAGTGCCTGTTGAGTGCTGACATCTTAATTCCTTTTTGGTCTTTGTGTAGGTCACTAGAGCCATGGTTGAAGCAAGAAGAAATTTTGAACTTGGGAATTCCTCACTGTCATACACCCGAAATAACTCATTAAGATTTGTGTTTTTTCTTAAATTTTCTGTACACCAAATCTTTAATCATATCTTTTAACTTTTATACGTAACTTAATTTTGTTTGACTGACATATTCTGGGGTTCGATTATGTTTCATTGATTTCAGGATACAGGTTATAATAATTTTCTTCCAAAGAAGCAGAAGGGTGGCACGGTTATTTTTAGTTGGAGGCCGGAGTGTTACATTTTTTTTAGTTAATTTGGTTATGTTAGTTGGATGTTTAGAATTGTCTAACTTTGATGTTGATGAATTTTAGATGTTTAGCATAAGTTATTGATGTTGTAATTTTAGAATATTTTTTGTGAAAAATTGATTCAATATGAATATTTATGTTTAATATTTTATTTATTAGGGATGAATTTATTAATATCAGTAAGTTTTTTATTATTATGAGACGATACAGTTTAATCTTATTACTGGAATTGTATGTGTATATATTGACGTATCATACGCTTTTATGATATCATGGTGTCAAAAGTTCTATGATACTATAGTATCATTAAAGTATGTGATGGTTTATTGTCGTTAAGCTTCATGATATAAAAGTGTCATTATTTACTGACACTTTCTCTGTGACACTAAATTTAGTGTCATAATTCCCGACCTTCTTTGACACTTTTCTAGTGTCAGAAAAACTTTTTGTGACACTTAATTAGTGTCACTATAGACCATTTTTCTAGTAGTGATTGAAATGAAAAACGCCATTATAGAGATGTAACTCCATGTATTAATTAATATATACACACTCCATATATATATATATATATATATATACACACACACACACTTCATATACTAAAATTTCTTATTTGCTTCTTCTCTTTAAATACTTCGTATATACACTACAAAAAAACATGCGTTTAGTCACGGATACGGTCCGTGACTACTTAGTCACAGATTTAGTCACGGGCTAGTCACAGATTGTTAAAAATAAAGTTGGTCACGGATTTGGCCGTGACTAAATCCGTGACTAAACGTAGTCACGGCCTTAGTCCGTGACTAAGGTTCTCCAGTGACCGGACTTCCTTCTCCGGTTGATTTCATTTTACTCCGGCACTTAGTCACGGACATATCCGTGACTAATGCCGTGACTAAAAGGAAAATTTATTTTCCAACGGTCCTTATTTAATTCGGACTGTTAATTTGTACGGAAAACGTTAGTCACGGACTAATCCGTGACTAACTTTTTTATATATGGATGGCCAGACTCATTCAGTTGAATCAACTCATTCCTAATATATACTATCATATAATACAGTATCTGTCTGAAAGATTAAGCGGATGTAATCTATCTTCTGTCATTTTCTGTGTTTATGCAAATAAGGTATGTCATTTTACTTATGTTTTTTATTAAGAATTAATTTTTAATATTAGGTAAATTAGTTAGCATAAAGTTGAATTAATTAGCTAAATTAGTTAAATTTATGATAATATTAGGTAAATTTTAGGTTTTACTTACTTAAAATGAGTTTAAAAAAGGTGGTTAATTAATTAACGAAATAAATTAGTTCAAATTAGTTAACTTAATGCATGATGTTGTATTTAGTTAGAATTACGTAAATTAGTTAAATATTTAGTAATTCATTGCATTTTATAAATTATGATTTGTTGTTAATTAAGTAACGAAATAAATTAGTTAAAATTAGTTAACTTAGTGCATGATATTGTATTTAGTTAGAATTACGTAAATTAGTTAAATTTGTAGTAATTTATTGCATTTTATATTAACGAAATAAATTAGTTAAAATTAGTTAAGTTGGTGCATGATGTTATATATTTAGTTAGAATTACGTAAATTAGTTAAATTTTTAGTAATTTATTGCATTTTATAAATTATGATTTCTTGTTAATTAATTAACGAAATAAATTAGTTAAAATTAGTTAACTTAGTGCATGATGTTGTATTTAGTTAGAATTACGTAAATTAGTTAAATATTTAGTAATTTATTGCATTTTATAAATTATGATTTCTTGTTAGAATTAGGATTTAGTGTTATATAAATTAGGATACAATTACGTTATTTGTTATTAAATTTGTGTTATTGAATCACTAATTATTGAATATAATTAAAGTAAACATTTATTACTAATTTCATAAATATTTTCGTAAATATTTACTAATTTATTAATTTCGTAATAATTTCATAAATTAATTCATTTAATTTTGTGAATTATTTGAATTATTATATATGTCTCTTAATAAACATTTATTTCGTAAATATAATTAGTGTATGATTTAAATGATTAATGACATCATATTATCGCATTAGTTCTAGTTAATTAATATTATTAATTGAAAGTTATTGTTTCGTAAAATTGAATATATTAATAATGCTCCTACTATACATATGTTGTTAATGTCTATAATTTGTAATTTTTGACCAATATATATTTTTTTTATAATATTCAGGCATAATGTATAGGCAAAATAGAAGTTGGATGTATGATAAAAATGCGGAGTTGTACGGAATGAAAACAAATTTTCTTGATGGAATTGCGGAGTTTATTAAATTTGCACTTGAACACCCGGATTATATGAGTGGTGATAATATCAGATGTCCATGTTCAAAGTGTAAAAATATGCAATTTAAAGACCAAGACGCTGTTGGGTGGGATTTGTACGCGGACGGTCTTGTTCCCAATTATTATAATTGGACTTGTCATGGCGAAGCTTATGATCCATCTCTTTTACCACAAACAGTGGGTTCGTCTCGTAACGTCCCTGACCAGATGAGTGGGTGGGGAGAATATGCTGATATGAGATGGGATCAACAAATGGTATATGACGGATACGGTGTCCCGTTGTCTCAGTTTAACCCCCCACAACAATTTAACGATCCTGCTGAAGCCTCCGGGTCCGGCTATCAGCCTTATGTGGATGAGGATTTAGCTGAGAGATTTCAAGATGTTTTAAAAGCTGCTGATCAACCTCTGTATGCTGATTGTGAGGGATACTCTCAGCTGTCAGCCGTTACAGAGTTCATGAACATAAAAGCTGAATACAGTCTCCCTGAAACTTGCATGTCTAGAGTGTTGCAGTCAGTTGGAGGAATGCTACCGCGTGACCACAGCCTCCCTGATTCATATTACAACATGAAATAATTAATATCTAAGTTGGGCCTTCCTCACATAGAAATTGATGCGTGCCCTAAGGGATGTATGCTGTTCTGGAAGGATGATGAGACACTTGAGATCTGCAAGTTCTGTGGAGGAGACAGATACAAACCTGTTCGTCAAAGTAAAAGAAAATCACGAAATAGGTCTGCATTATCTAAACTGTATTACCTCCCAATAGGTCCACGACTTCAAAGAATGTATGCTTCAAATGCTACTGCAAAACACATGACATGGCATGTTCAACACGAAACCAAAGAGGATATGATGTCTCACCCTTTAGACTGTGAAACTTGGAGACACTTTGACCGTTGCCATCCTCAATTTGCAATGGAAGCACGAAATGTGCGCCTGGGATTGTGTTCAGACGGATTTGCTCCTTTTGGAAGGTTTGGGAAGAACTATTCCTGTTGGCCAGTCATGTTAACTCCTTACAATCTCCCTCCCGACATGTGCATGCAAAGTCATTTCATCTTTTTGACTTTAATTTGTTCGGGTCCTAATGATCCTGGAAAAAGGATAGACATTTATCTCCAACCCCTTATCGAGGAGATGAAACAACTTTGGACCGTTGGGACACGAACTTATGATGTTTCAACAGATCAGATGTTCACCATGAAAGCTGCCATCATTTGGACCATTAGCGACTTCCCTGCGTATGGTATGCTTTCGGGATGGAGCACACACGGTCTTATGGGATGTCCGATATGCATGGAGAAATCAGGTGCGAATTGGCTAAACTACAGCAGAAAACCAAGTTACTTTGACTGTCACCGCAAGTTTCTCCCGGCAGTCCACCGATACCGAAAGGACAGAAAGTCTTTCATTAGAGGTAGAGTGGTACGAGACCCCCCACCCCCGAGATTGAGTGGTTCACAAATTTTTGACCGGGTTCGACGTATTCCTACGGCTGTGCAAGAGCCCCATGAGGATCCATATGGGTATTGTGATACCCATAAGTGGACAAAAAAGAGTATATTTTGGGAGTTACCATACTGGAAAGACCTTCTCATTCGTCACAATATAGATGTCATGCACACTGAGAAGAACGTCTTTGACAATATATTTAACACATCGATGGATTTCAAAGGGAAAACCAAAGACGGTCTTGCATCTAGAAAAGATATGTCAATATGGTGTGACAGACCCGAACTTTCTGTTGATCCAGAACATGAAGGTAACAAAATCCCAAAAGCAGTCTACCAAGTCACGGAAGCACAAAAGGCATTTATATTACTGTGGCTTGTGTCTCTGAAGTTTCCAGATGGCTACTGCTCCAACTTGTCCAGATGCGTGGACATGAAAAAACTCACCACGACTGCGAGCATGAAAACTCACGATGCTCATGTAATCATGCAAAGACTTCTGCCGATTGCACTTAAAGAGGTGCTCCCGGAAGACGTCTGGTCATGTATTACTGAAATCAGTTTGTTGTTTCAGTCCATTTGTTCCAGCGTTTTGGATGCAGCAGCCCTACGGAGACTAGAAGACACTGTTCCCATTCTGATGTGTAATTTGGAAAAAATAATGCCTCCGTCCTTTTTCGATGCAATGGAACATCTTATAATACATCTTCCGTACGAGGCTTTGACTGCTGGGCCCGTTTTCTATCGTTGGATGTACAGATTTGAAAGGTCAGTCACAATTTCTTTATCTTTGATTATTTTTTTTTATACGAACATTTGATAGTTAGTTTACAACTTTATATTTTACATTTCAGATTTCTGGGAGACTTGAAAAAGAAGGTGAACAACAAGACACACGTTGAGGCTTCAATTTGTCACGCATATATTCAACAAGAAATCTCAACGTTCTCATCTTTTTACTTTGAGCGAGAAGTCATCACCAGAAGAAAGGGACCTGCCCGGAACGATGACATCGGCGAGGATTTGTATGAAAATGTAGTTTCCATTTTCAATTACCCAGGTAGAGGTAAAGGAGCTGTGACTAGCCGTTTCATCTTGGGCGAAGAGTACAAAATTGCACATACTTACATCTTAATGAATTGTCCAGAAATTCTACCATTTTATAAGTAAGTGAAATTGGTAGTTATATTTGTAATATATCTTTAAGGTAGTTAATTTATAATATATTGATGTTTTGCATCACAGTGAATTTAGAGCTTCTATATCCGCATATCCTGATTATGAAATCGATGCAAGGGTGGATGCTGATTTTGCAAGATGGTACCAGCAACAGGTATATATATACACATTATATATATTATTAAGTAATT